AATTGTATCCAGACAATTCAGCTTGTAAATCTGGTTCTTCAATTAAATTATCATTTTGGTTTTGCTTTTTTGATGATTCAGCTTCAATATTATTATCTTTATGATTAATAATAATAATATCATCATCGCTACTTGACAAGTTGAGTTTTTCAATAATATCTGGATATACAATAATATTAGTTTTTTTCCCTTCATAGTCTTCATAATTTGTTGTAATAAACTTCGATTTATCATATTTAATTGTTGATCGCCAATAAAAATTTTTTAATTTTTTCTTTTTAAAAAATATTCCATCTTTGTTTTTAATAATTTGCTTGGCCTTTTCCTCAGTAATATCACTATTAAACTCAATATCAAACTGATTGTTGTTAAACTTTTCACGAGAACTTTTATGAAAAATTCTCATAATTTTACAGCAAGCACATTGATCTATACAGATTTTTTCTGAATCATCACAAATTTTTTGATATTCAATAACATAATCAAACCGTCCAATTATCGAAGAATAATATTTTCTATTTGGCTTCCATTCACCTTTTGAGTCTCGTATTCGTTCTTGGTCTTCTGCATATGTATAAAGTTCACGTAAAGGTATGTTTGATGTAAAAGCTTGAATTTTTGGTGCATAGTTTGCATGTCCTCCTTTAAATTGTACATCATATTCCCCACGGTCTAAAAAATCCAAAAGATCAAGCCATTTCATAAATGAACCATCAAATTCATTAATAATAACTTCATCATGCTCATTAAATCCAGGCCACCACTTATCTTCAACAGTCTTTTTGTATGCTTTGGGAAATAAAATATCTAATAAATATGATTTACCAGTTCTTGGTTTACCAAAAATAAAAATATTACAAGGTTTCCAGCATCGTTTAAATGAAATTTTTTGGTTTTCAATATTATCACGAGCTTTGACAACTCTATCAATATGATTAGGATTTGAAGAAACCCAGTGTGGATTATTACTTGCATGTAACATAATAATTTCATCTTTTGTCATTGTTCCTTCAATACAATCCTTCATAGTTGCTTTAGCATTTTTTAATTTAATATTTTTATTTTTTTCTTGCTTCTCTTTGCATTTAGTTTCATCAAATATAAAATGAAAAGGGCCACAAATATTTGGATCATCACTTATACGTGCTGATAAATGAATACATGTTTCATCACATCTTTCACATCGGTGGTTGAAGTTATTGTAATCACACTTGCATGGTTGATGTTTAGGATTTTTACATCTTTCATAATCTTTACCAAGATAGGCCAGACATTCTTCTTTTGTTCCATCTGCACGATGAATATGTAGATTTGCTCGAAAATATAATTTAATACCAGTTCCTGTTTGTGTTTTAGAATCCCAATTTCCAAGACGTGCTTGTTTTCTTAATTCAGCATATCCTTGTGCATGATATTTGTCTGGATCTTTAGAATTATTGTTTGGTTCAAATTTAAAATGAACTTCTTGAAATCTACATGTTTCTTCAAGAAAAAGGCTTTCAAAATAAGGCTTAATTGTTTTTAAATTTTCATATAAAGTAAAATTAAATTTACGAAATTGAGTTTTTGAAGTAATTATTTTAGACATCTTAAAATGATATTTTGTCACTGTTACAGTAACTGATAAAACAAGCTATTTATATAGTTTTTGTTGAATCTTGCTTACTAAGCTAATTATAAATTATTTCTAATAATACAAAGAATATTTTTTTCGTGTTTTCGCGATGTTTTCGTGATTATATTGGCTAAATTTAGTAATTAGAAGTTGATAAAAATGGTAATTACTCTTAAAGTTAGATCTGGTAATCAAATTACTTTTAAGTTATGAGAATGAGAATGGATTTAGACTTGAGAATGAATCGATTTTGGTAATCAAAATTTTACCTTAAAGACTCAAGAATGAATCAATTTGGTAATCAAAAGTTTTACTTTTTGAGCAAAAGAATAAAATAAATTAGTAATTGGAACTTTCTTTAATGATCTTCATGTTTTTCTGTATATGCGTTTCGAAGAACGCCAACGTACGGCGATCCTTTACGGAAAAACCCACTATGCTAACCTCAAGACATGTAATAACAGAACTTTTAGAGTGGATGATGGACTACTTGAATCTCAATTTTTACGAGAAACAAACGCGAACTCGCGGAGATATCACGTTTTTTGTAAACGTGAACGGCCACGTTTTCGTAAATTTACCTCCGACTTCAATCACTTCCGAAGGCACTTTTGCCAAATGAAACCTCCATACATGCAATAATGGCGTTTGCAGGTATGGTCTTCAACCCTTTACGGTTAAAATTTTAGCCTGCACGGACCGATATTTGTGGAGATATTCGATTTTTACGTTTAGACACCGTAGACGGTTTTTCCGTAATTCTTCGTGATGAAAGTGCCGAAAATTCACGGTACCCCACCCTGATTTTCGAAGG